GGGAGGGGGGGGGGGGGGGGGGGGGGGGGGGGGGGGGGGGGGGGGGTAGAGGAGGGGGAGGGGTCAGGGAATGCAATTACCTGCTGCTGATCTACATTGTTTTCACCGTAGTTAGGGAACTTGGGAAAGAGATTCTACGATAATAAATGGATATATAAAGCAAATGATGACAATGATAAACACAAAAGAATGAAAGCTATGGATACAGCATATACATGTATAGATAAAAGGAGGTGCAATGTAGGTAGGAGATTATATGATGGCGCTAAAGAAAATATCTAGAGATTAAATACTATAATCTGGAAGCATGACTAAAGAAGTAGGAAAAATACTATAAAAATATGGCAAATTCATAAGGGGAACGCAGCGTGCATATACACGGTAGAAGGCTAAATTGTTGATTCCTTTTAAATGACCTCTTTAAAACAAAATTACAAATGACAAGCATACAAGGAGCGTTGCTTTAAACAAATGTCATGTATCTCTATAAAATAAATATCAAATGGAAGAGAGGGACCAGGGGTGCGTTTCACAAAGCCTTTTTTCAATGACAAATGACAAAAATCAGTGACAAATTTGCCGATAACCAATCAGAAGCAAGGATTTCTTAATAACATTTCTTATAACAAAAACTGTCATTTGTCACTGATGACAACAAGTTTTGTGACCCCCCCCCCCCCCTGGAGATAGAGAAAGAGTAAGAAACAGACAGACAGATAATAGACAGAAACAGACACTAAGAATCAAGAATGTTACATCTAATGGCAAAGATGGAATGAGATTTGATAGCAGTAAGATTAGTTAATTTTTAATTTTTAAATCACATTGTAATTTTCTCTTTAATTTTCTATGATTTTGTAACTGATATATCATTTATTCTATCTTACACTTTATCCTTCATTTTTCATCCATATCATAGCTAGGGCCTACTGTAAGCTACATCTTGTACTTTTTTTCTCTCTGATGATGGATAGGAAAGTACATATACCTGCTCATCTAAATGTTATCTATTAAAGTGAATTTAATTTGTAGGTATATCCTATGTATATTAAAATCTACTTCATCCATTTCCCAGCCTTCTTTTTATTTCAAACACATCCTTAAAAATAACTAATATTAAAATCTGGTTTTTAAAACAGGACATTTCAATAAAATTTCATTTCCTTCTTGCGAAATTCTATCCATGATTTGCAAATTTGATGAGTTTGTTTTTGATAAATAAAAAACTGCCTGCTGTTTCCTGTTTCAAACATGAAAATGGCCTGAATCAATATGATACACATATGAATGTTCAGCACTCAATTAACAACCAAAACTAGAACTTGTGGGTGTGTGTACAAATAAATTGGTAATTAAACTTTTGACAGTCATTTCAATAACCACTACCCACTCACAAATTCTATTTTGATGCAGTCATGTATTATTTACACTGTCTGTTAAGCTATAGATACTTTTATAAAGACTTGATGCCTTTCTGCTCTACTATTAAAGCAGATAAGTCATGTACATGTACATGTAGGTGATTATCAATTGACTCACTATTGGTTCCAATTGAAAGAAGTCATTAACAAATTCATATCGTATCTTTGGAACCAGAAACGTGTAGAGTGACTTAATAATGTAAAAACTTCAACACTGAGTCGATGCCCTTCTGGCTCCAAACTGACGATAAATTCAATGAAAACTCATGAAACATTTCTAAAGAATCAGTTTGATTATATTCACTGTGAAACATGAATCCGGGTTGCCGTTTGTGATTACAAGTGAAGAAGAAAAGAAAAGGTACACACACAATGTAGAAACACACTAAATGATTCAACAGCCTACTATAAACGATGCTTGGATGGGGAAAAGGACTGTATGTTTATGATTTTGTTGGTTGAGAGTAGAGAGGTGTTGATTCTGCCTCGCTGATTAAAACTCATTCAACAGCATGTTGGCTTATCAAGAAATAACATCATGTATGTGAAAGGTTTGGTCTATTCAGAGACAGAAGGGTATGAATTCTGTATTTTGAGGATGTCAAGAGCACGTAATTAATTATATTAATTAAATTTGGGTTGGTAATTTCAGCATCCTTTCTGGAATAACACACCTTATCACAAGGAGGTTTATGTTTGTGTAGGTGACTATAATGTCAAAGGATGTAAATAGTAGAAATAAGAACTTTTTGCACTTTCAGCAACCTTTCAAAATGTAATGAGAGACTGATATGATTAAGATAAACTGACTTTATTTGGCAATGACAACTTTGAGGTTTTAATGAATTGGTAATGAAGGGCTAGGTAATTAAAGAATCATGAGTTTTTAATGCATTTCAGTACCTGATAAAACTCTACAAATGTTGAGTACATGATTTATAGCTCAGCGTAAATGAAGATAAAACGACAGAGATATTGCTCCCTCCCTACCTCATCTAAAAAGTGTATGATATAAATTCATATCTTCTTTGGAAATCCATGCCCTTCTCTTAAACTGGCACATATTCAGCAAACAAGGAAAAACAAAAGAGGAATATTATATTTGCCTATTGTTTCTTCTTTTCAGAACGGTTAGTAAATGAATAAATTTCAATTTGAGCAATCTAAGAGTTCACTTAATTTTTTTTACAGAATGCCTTTAATTATTTAAACATATTTGTGGCTTACACACAGTAAATAAGATTGATTGATCGATCTGTATTGAAAAACAAGTCAGAAAAAATCTCGGAACCAGCGGGACTTGAACCTGCATCTGGGTGTAAGCCACAAATATGTTTAAATAATTGAAATTTCTCCCAGGAAGCATTACATTTATAAAAGAATGCCTTTAATCATAATGTGCATGGTTGTTGCCATAAATCTTATATCATATAAAACTTATATGTAGCTGAAGCACTTCAGGTACCAGCAGTTCTTCACATTTGAAGAGGGTTTGAGTACTTTTGTTAGATCAGATGTTATGAGTTGAGTAAATCTTTCCAGATCGTTTGGAGCCAGGAGGCTGTAACTCCTATCATTTTAAAGCAGCGTTAATGCCCTTTTGGCGCAGAACAGATCATGTTTCTGACAAGCTTGAAGACTTCGGAGGTAAGCACTTTATAAGTACTGTTTTTATTATTATTAATATCATATTTTATTTAATATTAGCTGGTCATACCCTCTGACAGATTCGAATTGATTTCAAATGATTATGAAATGCTGGTATCAGAGGTAAAGCACACATGGATTAATGTACATTTATATTCATAATGTGTGTCTGCATCAGAAACGGATTTAATTTTTAAACATCTGTCATGTCTGGCCACTGAAGAAGAGTGTGACACTAACCTGTTTCTTTTGTTTTTTTTTGTTTTTTGGATAACTCATCGCCCTCCGCCTGCCGGATGGAGGGTGTTTTATGCCGTTTTTTGGTTTTTCACATTATCATTGAAAAACAAAGTGTGTTGTCTAATGTCTATTACATCATCTGTTGAGCGCAAGAAGGGCATTGACCCTCAACAATAGGAGTAAATGCCCTTCTACACGTAGCTCTCAACAGAAGATATGTCTGGAATCTTATGTCATTTTTGAGCAATAAAATTACCAATGTTGAAATGTACTATGTACCACAAGAAAAAGATGAGTAAGTCAACATCTAACACAGCTTGTCCAATATGAACAAAGCTTGTCAATTATGTGGCAAACTCTATTGCCTAATATACACCGTACAACATGTATCAAGTATTTCAAATTTGCAATATTAAAGGATGCTCACATATAACTTGTAAACGAAGGCATTGCTAAAAGGAGGATCTTTGTTATCAATAAGGGATGTAATAATTTCATTTTGAATTTTTTTTTTTACAAGTGAAACCTTTTGGGGGTGATACAGTAATTTCATATATATCTTGCTGAAGTGTGGGTTTTTTTGTAAGACAACTTTTCTATTACACTTTGCTTCTGCTTGTTTATCACTGTGCATAATGTACATGTACATATATTGTTGCCATATTCATAAAAGTGAGATTGATGATGAATAAGAGATCAAGTGATATTTGTTTCTCATATTAGTGACCATATGGCACTAGAATAACTGTCTCAACAGCTTTTTTTTTTTCCTTGCTGAATGTATGAACAGTAGGAAGGTGAAATCAGTGATTGATTATACATGTACAAAGGCAATAGAAAGTACAAGACAAGGTGGAAAAATTTCCGGGGGCAGCTTAGAAGAGAAAGAGTACAGGAAAGAAAGTCATGACTATATGAAAGAGAAATCATTTCACAAAGAAACCTTGAAGGAGAGAAATGGAGGGCCGAGAGTTACTGGGGTACAGAGGAGGGTGGGGCCCGAGGATGATAGTGAGCGCTAAAAAAAAGGTTTTAACGAGAGTTGAGTTTTTTTGTTTAAGTTTTATAAATCCAAGCGCTTGCGCAAGGTGTTCAAGCTAGTCGTGAAAAAACGGCACCTCACCACCACCCCCTCAAAATGACTAGAGGCATGGTGGCTCAGTGGTTAGAGCACCCGCCTCATGGACGGAATGTCGTGGCTTCGAACCCCGGCCGAGTCATACCTAAGACTTATAACAATGGGACCTTCTGCCTTCTAGCTAGGCGCTCAGCATATTAGATTGGAGAAGGGTAGTAATAACATATTATGTTATGCAGGGCCCGCTGTAAGAGCAGTTTCATACATGTAACTGAAGTGGCTACCCTGGGTAAATAAAACGTTATTATTATTATTATTGTTATTATTATTATTATTGTTATAGGTACAGTGGAGGGTGCGGTCATTACCCCTTCATGGAATGGTTGGTTCTCCTTGTCACTTTAAAAATTTGAAAGAATTATATAAAGAATTAAGAAAATCAAATAATTAACAATTTCAAAAACTAAAAGAAAGATAGAAGGCTACATGTAAGAGAGAGCAGAGACAGATAGAGAATGAATGTATGTGTGTACTTAAATAATAGAGAGTGAAGAGAAAGGGAACGAGAGAGTTAAGAACTACTAGAGGGGTAAAGAGAAGGGCGTGGTCATTACCCCTTCATGAAGTGGCTGGTCCTCCTTGTCAGTAGGCGCTCCCATGTGGCTCTCAGCCATCTCAATCTCCTGAGGGTTCGCTACTGCGGCATTATCAGGTTGGACTCCTTCAAAACCTGCACATAAGAAGAAAAAAAGAAGAATATTTTTGGTAAATGAGGTGTTTGAGATTTCAGGATGATGAAGGTCTATCAGGACATACATGTACATTGTACAGGGCCCCTGTTGCATAAAACTTACCATTGATGGTAACTTTGCCATCAATCGCAACTACCATGGTAACAGGGCTCAAAAGCCAATTAAAATCAAGGTTGGTAGTTACCATTGATGGCAAAGTTACCATCAACGGTAAGTTTTGTGCAACGGGGCCCAGATCGGATTACAAATTTGTAAACTTGAAATTTTGATGCAGTGCTTTTGATAGTATTGCATTGATTGTTTAAAATAGCAAATAGCTTTTCACAGCTGCAATGTGCATGGACAGCCGAAACAGGAAGTAAAATATTCCTGCCTTTTTAAAGATTAAACTTTTGTGCTCTTAAAGGTAAAGACCAGTTATGGTCATGCGATTGCATTGTGAAAGAAACGTTGTGGAATCGATCAGAAAAGGTTGATCATCTAGCATCTAGCATCTGCAAGGTTCTGGAATCACCAAAATGATAAGAAATTTGGCCCATTCTTCGTAAAGTTACAAGCACTATACACAGAAAGATGTATATAGGACTACCCTATATCTCAGACCATGAGAGAAACAAATTTACCAAATATATGAATTAGTAGGCGGTTTCCCGGCAAATTTTTTATCACCATGTATTAGTCAAAACATATTCTTTCACATGATTGGTAATGAGAGCTTCCATTTCATTTTTTGAAATTGGGGCGTTTCCAATACTGGTCTTTACCTTTAAACGATGGGCACATTTTTCATCAGTTGACCATGCTCCACGTTACAGCCTTGTCAAATACACCCAATCTTGAAGTACTTTACCACCAACAAGGTTTCTGCATTATTATTTTGTTCCATACATTACCAACAACGCGTCAGTTATACACATGTATCTGGGCAGCGTTTCACGAAAATATCAGAAGTACAACTATAATAATGTTTCCATTAGGGAAGACTAAAAAAATAATGGTGCACGCAAAAGATAGGCTAAATGAATGTTGGCCTTCATCGGTACAGCACCAAGCAATGATTTGGCCTTCAAATCAATATAACCTGTAGCTTGTATGTGTCAAAAGTTTAAAACAATGTCACCACATTATTATGGACTTTTCACAGATTAAACATGTATGACAATATGGACACATACATGTATTTATATATGGGCATGATTGAAAAATAATAACACACACAAAAGATATGCTATGTTGGCCTTCAGTAAAACAGTACAGCTGCAATTTAGGAGAGATTTGGCCTTCATATCAATACCTGTAGCTCGTGTATGTGTCAAAATTTCAAAACAATATCACTGCATCATTTACAGAAGTATACCATTATGAATATGTAAGATATTGATTTTCCATATTCATACATCTAGGTTACATGTATGACAATATGTACAGATAAAAACATGTACATGTACTTATTGTACATTCATGTACATTTAAAACATACTGTAAGTACAATATAAATACATGTACATGTACATACAGTGGCAAATGAAGAAATGGAAGGGGGGGGGGTCATGTACTGTACAGTATGTACCCCGAAACTCTAGGGTGGAGTCTTGGCGCAGGTGGAGCTCCATCATAATGTCATACATGAATATGAATGAGATTAAAACAAAAATGAATATGTACGTATGAGATTGCATCATACATATGTATGAGGTTACATCATACATGAATATGTATGAGATTACATCATACATGAATATGTATGAGATTACATCATACATGAATATGTATGAGATTACATTATACATGAATATGTATGAGATTAAATCAACATGAATATGTAAATGTACATGTATGAGATTGAATCATCCAATACAAGTGTACATGAACACAAATTTACATGTTATTGTAATTAATGCTTTAGTTTTCTAACATTCACATCGGTTATTGCTCTAGTCCGTGTTAACCAACACTCCAATGTAGAAGGATGGTAGTGCAAACAGCTCTCAAAAATATACATGTACATGTATGCTGTACCTCATCGCAAAAAGCATAAAATCGGGCCCTATTCCAACAAAACAGCGCAGCGGTATGTTTGCAAACCATTCGTAATGCATGCATATAAAATCAGCCTTCAGTTTTGTCATGGATTAGGGCTCTTCAACAATACCTGTAGAGCTATACAAAAGGCTTTAACAATTTCTACCAGAGTTATTATGTGTGCAAACTATACAGTACATGTACCTGTATGTATATTGTGCAATACAACAAGAAGTGAAATCTACTTGTAATATACACTGTATAGGTAATACATGTATGTTTGTACAGTACATGTACATGTAGGTTGAACTTTTCCATTGAAAAGTACATACATGTATTTACATGTACCGGTATTTGGGTAGGCCTACAGAGATTTACATGACATAAATTTTCTTGCCAAGTAGCTGTATAATGAACAGCAGATTGTGACCATCTTTCACTGTAGCCAAAAAAAAGTTGTCAAAAAGGGGGTGTGGCGTTTTGAATATCATTTTAAACTTCTTTGTATTTACTATGTATGCAAATGAATGTAAATGTATTAATACTGGATCATTCTCAATGATATTGATGATCATGAGTGTTGATCCGAGCTAAAAACTATATCTGTATTATGTCAGTGTACATGTGTTCAATACATCTACATGTACATGAATAACGAACAGGAATTATGATATGTACTGTACGTGTACTGTGAGTATCAAGACTGGAACTACATTGCTTTTTGCCACAGAAAACTATTTCTGTACAGATACAATGAAAAAGAAAAGAGATAAGAAGTCAAAGGTATCATCTATTCTCAAAGCACACAGTTACCTAATTGCAAAGAGAACACTAAGATAAGACAAAATGCCTCAAGCAGGATATTGAAGGATATAAGGCATGGATAATGATAATATTGCTCTGTAAATGAAGGTCCAGAGAGAGCTGTGGTCAGCGACGGAATTCTTACCGAGAAGGACCGGTTCTGTAGCCTGTGACTTGGTCACTGCGAAATACATGCTTCTAATCAGTGGTCAAATCCAATGCTATCTCAACATGCCGACACCGAGTCCAGCAGCTGTAGGAACGTCCAATACGGGTACTCACTACAACTAGCCAGTGGTTAAAAATAACCACTAATAAATAACTACTAATGGTCTAAGTAATTAGGATTTGAGATAAGTGGCTATCGTACCGAGGGTTGTGGGAGGGGCAGGTGAGACCGCGGCCGGTATGTCGGTGTCTTCGGTGTCGTCGGTCTCGGTGTACGACTTGTAGCTCTTGAGAATGGCTTCCTCGTCTTCCTTCTTCTTGCCCAGCAAGCTACTAGGACGGAAACCGGTTGAGCTCATCGCGGGTCTACCGATGAACGACTGGGCCTAAACAATGCTGGAATGCGGGTAAAGCTCCCAATTTCTCTATGCCCTCTTGAGCAGGATCCAAAGTTTATATCATTAGGCCGAGATCAGACTGACTGAGCAGAAGAATGATACACACCTATTTTGTTTACACATCCATTGGATTTTCGTTGTGGTCTAACCTCCTTAGAATAGGCGATTCAGACCCCAATTACTTCCTGATAATTAAACTGTCAGTGATGGGTGTGATTCCACTACTTAAAGATAAAGTTGTGTTCTGGTCATGCGATTGCATTGTGAAAGAAACCTTGTGGAATCGATCAGAAAAGGTTGATCATCTAGCATATACATGTAAGTACTGCAAGGTTTTGGAATCATCAAAACGATAAGAAATTTGGCCCAGTCTTGGTAAAGTTACAAGCACTGTACACATAAAGATGTATATAGGACTATGCGACACGTGCACGACATTCTTCAGGTCCAAATAGATATAAACATTTACCAAATATATCAATTAGTAGGCGGTTTCCAAGCAACATTTGTATCATCATGTATTAGTCAAAACATATTCTTTCACATAATTGGTAATAAGAGCTTCCATTTCATTTTTTGAGAGGGGGGGGGGGTTCAAAAACCTGGTCTTTACATTTAACTTTATAGAGAGTGACATGAAGTGTGAAGTTGCATATTGATACATTCAATGTAATTAACAACTATTAGATGACAGTATGTTTATGCTGACTGATGTTTGGCCCACAAAGGAAGTGTCAATATCCCACCCCCCCCCCCCTTCTTATCCCTTCAATTAAAATGGACTTTAAATGGTGGTACATAAAAACATCAATCATATTAATTCACTTAATGCAATCATAGGTTTGCCTCAGCTTTAATCATGGTCTGAATTAAAACGTCATGTCTAAATGTTGCAAAAATAAACCTGTGATATTTACCAAGTAACGGACACCCCCTTATTTAAAATTCCTATAAAGCTAGATTGAGAATAAGAGTCCACTCAAAATAATATGTTCTTTGGCTTTTGATTATAACCAATTCTAAAACAGTTGAGTTTCTTCTGAACTGTCTTGCTTACAATCATTTGCATGTACCACTACCAGTAAACGTCACTTTATTATCAGTACATTACACAACACCTGTTCCATCTACCATGTTTTACCGGTCTCTTAACTTTCACTACCATCCAGGCTTATCCCGATAGCTCTATTTATAATTTTATAGCTGTTATAAATTTATATGTTGCACATTCACAATGGAAATATTAATGAAAGAAATTTAAGAAGCATATCAGGGCAGTTCAAAGTTTTTAATTCAAATTCTCTGGTGTCATGGAATGCTTTGTACCACCCCTTTCAAAGACGGTCACAGTAGGCATAGTACCGGGTATCTTTATACGAAACTGGCACCTATGTTTCTGATATTTAAAAAAAAGGGATTCTATTGGTACTTGAAAAAGTAAAATAGACATGACGTACATGTAGCTACAAATGAAGCTTTCTTCCAAGATTGCCTCTGTTAAATTAAGCATGATGCTTTATACATTTTTGTCCTCGTTTCAAAAAGCCATTAGGAGTATCGGCATATCGTTCACCGACATTGCGTGCCCCTAATGGATGCTGTACTGTTAATGTTCTAGATATATTGTGAGAAGCAGCTTGGGTAATATATAGAACTCAAATGATGCTGAAACTTGTTTGTTTGGGATTTTCTTTTTTACTGCTATACATTTTTATTTCCGAGATCTATGCATAATCAAAGCAAAAGCAAAAGCAAAAGCAAGGTTTTGTGATTTTATTCTATTTTCATTTTTTGGGGGAGAGGGGGTTCGGTTTTGTCGTTTAAATGCTTCAAGTTATTACCTTACAATAAGAGAGACATGGTTTATATGTGAATCTACCTTTTATGCAAATATAATTTATTTTAAAATATGGTTTATGGGGGAGAATCAGGTATAGTATATTTTGTTGTCATAGTTAATAACTAGATAAACAACTTCATGCTGTTTATTTATCGATAATAGTGTCTGATGAGTAAAAGTTCACTCTCAGCTCCATTCTTTCAAAAGTATAATGTACATGTCTATTTGATTACATGGCTTGCCATTCTCGCTTTGAGCAGACGATGTATGTTAGTGTTCAAATGCATGCAGACAATCTGGAATTCCATCATAATCTCTCTCTTTTCCTACATTCAGACAATTTCTAGAAAAAAGGAAAAACATGTTTGATCCCATTTTAAAAAGAAAAGGTATGATTCCAGAGACTACGTATAATTCACTATAAGCCATTCAAGCATGATATTGGCTCATTTGGACTCTGGACCTCAAAGGGTTCGGTATTTGTATACAAGCAATCGGGGTAAACACTGATTTCAAAAGTTCGTGCTCTTCCCTCCACTGATCAAAATCTGTCCATTTGTTCCAAAAGATGACTGCTAATTTTTCTGCTGTGTTCACATTTGATGTCGACTACTTGATTCTTTTTGTTGTTTTTAAACAAAGAAAAGTTTAATATGTACTGTATGTTGACGATGATTCTATATATATGTCATGCTTTTTTCTGATGTCGACTTTCTCTCTTACCAACTTTTCTTCACTGCTCGAAACCCACCTCCTCTGCTTACCGATATCTAATTTTGGTCCTCTTCAACTCTCTCGCTCTCATCTCCCTGCTCTCATCATCGAATAAAAATCATTTCATGTACCTTACCCATCTAAAGCTGTTATGAATTTAGTTAACCATCACTACAATAACTGTCTATGATTATTATTATTTCTTTTTTGTAAATTGATCTCTGCTAACTTTTACAAGTGAAAAACAAATTTCCAAATTGACAATAAATACTTAATTTCAATTTCAATACTTCTCCATTCCCTGATTCACACTTTTCTATCAAATTTCACATTTTCTGAATCTATCAACTGTAATAATCACACTTCCTTGCTGCATTCATGTTGTTGAATCGTTCACATTTAAAAGCAAACAAACAAAATGTGTATGTACAGTATTTCAAATATTCCTCTAGACTAGGAATATGTCAAGTGTGAAGATTGTGCAAATAAAATATACATGCAGGCTTACTGGTAGACCCATGAACATATTTTTCCTCCTAAATTTACAGTCGAGTAAATATTGTTTCACTATAAAACTATGAAAAAAATTCAGCAGAGATATGAAATAAGTCTATTAAAAGATAAATGGGTTCGGGAACAAGGCCATGCACGTTTCTGAATGCTCTATAGACTCCATGGTGGTGTTCCCTTATGGGAGGTTGGGGGTGGACATGTTTGGGAAATGGTTGTCAAAAACAGAGTGATGCCCCCATAGTGATTAACCCACTCAATACCACAGAGCCACAATAACACTGAATCCTATTCACAGAAAGACCACAAAAAAAATTGTTTCGTTTATAATTGCACAATAGTTTTTGCCCAATAGAATACCCTTCAGTAGCACGACTACAAAATGTACTTGTTAAAATGTAGCTCTTTATCAAATAGCCCAGTACTATCTTTCTTTCATTTTTTTATTTTTATTTTTTTTTAGGGGGGGGGGGGTTGGAGTTCACACTAGTAGGTTTAAAACATATATGTTTGATCTCAATCTTGTTGGCCCAAGTTAATGATGAAACATGATTATGTTTAAACGTACATAGTCACAGGCGAGATTAGCTTCAAAGTTGTTTTACACGTTATGCAACAATTGCCAAACAAACATAGGACTATCCCTATTGTAAACAGACGGACATACAATCATGAAGTTGACCCCTCCAACCCCCCCCCCCCATATTCCTCATTACCTATGCACTGGCATGATGTACAGTATATTCCCAATATGGCACATTTTAATAATGTTTTATGGACATCAAATAGTTTGTTTGTATTTCAATCTCTTGCATTCATTTCAAATGGTTCTGAAGTACATGAAGTACAAATAGACACCCACATACGTTGAATTATTACAAGGACATTATGTACACATAATAATTGCGCTGTGTAGTCTTCTGGCACACCTAAACTATTAAAGGTAAAGACCAGTTATGGTCATGCGATTGCATTGTGAAAGAAACGTTGTGGAATCGATCAGAAAAGGTTGATCATCTAGCATCTAGCATCTGCAAGGTTCTGGAATCATCAAAATGATAAGAGATTTGGCCCATTCTTCGTAAAGTTACAAGCACTATACATAGAAAGATGTATATGGGACTACCCTATATCTCTCACAGACCATGAGAGAAACAAATTTGCCAAATATATGAATTAGTAGGCGGTTTCCCAGCAATTTTTTTATCATCATGTATTAGTCAAAACATATTCTTTCACATGATTGGTAATGAGAGCTTCCATTTCATTTTTTGAAATTGGGGCGTTTCCAATACTGGTCTTTACCTTTAAAGCAACAACTGCAGGGGAATGGTGAGAGCAACCAGTGGCATGAACGGCCTGCCATATCTCAAGTTCATCTTAGTCTTTGTGAAACACCCCCAGTTCTACTTCTAGTCGAATTTAAAACAATGACATGAACAAATGAACAAATAAATTTTAGCTACTGTACACGTACTGCCCTTCTGGCTCCGAAAAGAGACATGTGCATTGTTAAATCTGATGTAGATTAGTATTGAGACAAATGCTTGACAAATGAATACCTGGGCCTTGCATGCCATCTGTAGATCTGCTCGAGTCAACAGATTGTTTTGATTAAAAAAAAGATTGTTGCGTAGGTGTGCCATTGATAGCATTCCCTTAGTTCAACCATGCAACCCTTTGTACACTGTATTAGGTCTATGGTTCAACTATCAAAACGTGATATCATTTTATTGTTATGCACATGTACACATCTGTTTCATGAAAACATAGTGAACAGATACACAGTACATGACCATTTATATCAATTTCTGAAATGCACATTTTTCCTTTTATGAGTATTTCATGTATGAAAGTGAAGACAAGGGCGGAGATTAAGCTGACGATCATAGAAAGTGAATGCTTTAAACCATAAATAAATCAAATCAAATCTAATCAAATCAAATCAACCATTGAACTGCAATATTTCCATA